AACCCTAACCCTTAAACCCTAAAGCCTAAACCCTAACCCCCAACCCGTAAACCCTAAACTCTAACAGTTAAACCCGAAACCCTAAACCCTTAAACCCTAAAACCCTTAAACCCTTGAACCCTTGAACCCTAGATGCCTCCTTGGAGGATGACGGAGAAGATGAAGATGAGGGGGAAGAGGAAGAAGAAGAGGAGGACTTAGCGTCTTCGGGGGTTTAGGGTTTAGGGTATAGTTCCCTGAGGGTCCAAGGACCCAAATAAGAGGGTTTTAGGGCCCAAAAGCTATAACAGCTTATGGGTCAGGATTTGGGGTGTAGGATTTAGGGTTCAGCATTCCGGGTTTAGGTGCCATGGACCCAAAACTGTCCACTTTCGGTCTTGCTTCGTAGGTCCTGATACGAAACCTTAAACCCTAAACCCACGTAGGGTTTCGGGTAGATGGAGAATAGGATATTTGTTGGGATGAGGTGTTTTGGGTTTAGGGTTTTGGGGATTTAGGGTGTAGGGTTTATAGGGGGTTGTGCTTTGTGGAAAGTTAACCCTGAACCCACAGCCGGCTATAGGCCAAATAGATTAGGAAATCGTTATTGCAGGAGGATCTGGAGCATCAACCTGCTCACACGCCGAGAGGCCCTCAACAGCCGGCCAGATTCTCAGACGTCCGGTAGCCACGGACTAGGGTTTAGGATTTAGGGTTTAGGATCGAGGCTTTAGGATTTGGGGCTTGGGGTTCAGGGTTTCAGGATTTGGGATTTCAGGATTGGGGTTTAGGATCCTTAAGCCCTAAACCCTATTTAGGGTTGAGCGGCCTAGTTCTCAGACATCTGGTAGCTAATTACGGCATAGGCTTTGTAGGGATACCTGCAGGTCCCTTCACAGACTACTCTTCGGTCCCTTTTGGTTCGGGGTTTAAGGGCTTTAGGGTTCAGGGTTTAGGGTTTAAACCCTAGACATTTTTAGGGTTCAGGGTTCAGGGTTGTTTGGGGGTGCAGCCACATAGAAAAGCACGTGGGTAACTACATGGAAACCTGGGCATGGTAACCTGGGGTTCACAAGGATGTTGAGCGTTTTGCCTTTAGGGTTAAGGGTTTAGGGTGTAGGGTAAAGGGTTTAGGGTTTAGGGTAAAGGGTTTAGGGTTATATACATATATATCTCCATTGCGGAGTTTCAGATTTATCTCGGTTCGGTGAATTCAGGGCTCTAAAGGGATGGTTTTCAGCAACTCCTGTCTAGGCCCAGATCACAAGGAGATCTTAGGCATGTACTAGAGTATGAACAGTGACTGAGAGCATTCGGCGTACTCCCAGCTCCCCGAATTGATTCCCTACGGTGGATGGACCCCTGAACCCTAAACCTTACACCTTTGGATTCTACAAGCATTGTAATTATTCGGGTATATGCTGTACTAGGTGGTCGCGGTATCACGGTATCACAATCCTATGACTCTTCTAGGGTCATTGTTGGCTTTAGGGTTTGGGTTACCTGGCGTTTAGTGGAGAAACGGGAATGGAAAAGACCTAGCAGCGCAGAAGGTAGGATTCAACCGGATAAGGTATTGGTATGTGTGTATTTATATTTATACATTCTGACTGTAGCATAGAAGGTCAGAGAATGGTCTGAACATGGCTTTAAAGGTTTCTTTCAAAAAGCCTTAGACAATTTTGATAGCCTTCACCCCCCCCCCCTCCCCCCCCCCCACACACATTCAACCCTAACCACCCCCTAAACCCTACTTTTGGGGGCCAGGGAACTCAGCAACGTTGCCTGGCTCTTCAAAAGAATCAAGGAATGGGCAAGAGAATGGAAGCTACCAGTGGCACCCAGCAAAGATGTATACTTATTGGGCTTTAGTAGGGAATGAGGGAATAAATTAATACAGAGATTCGGGTCTAGGGATCAGAAATTATGGTTAGTAGGGAATGGGGGGCACATACTCAATAAGCACTATATAGGGATTATGTTCTCGTTCCCTGCTAACCACCAGTAAGTACATGCAGCCAGTAAATATGGTGGTGGCTAGCTCCTTGTTCAGTTACTTGTTCAGGTTGGGGTTGCAGGGGCAGCCTTCCAAGGTCAAGCTACAAAAATAACCCAAAGTTAGGGTTTGGCATGTTGGGCGCTTTGTAGGACATCAGGGAATGTGTTATGTAGTAGTCAATAGGATCCTACATGCATGCAGTTCCTTTTGCAGGGGCTTTATTGTCACAACTCTTTATTGATCCTGGGTACATCAGCTAGACCTCAACATGTTACTGGCAACTATCTAGGCCAACCCTAAACCCTAAACCCTGAACCCTAAACCCTAAACCCTGAACCCTAAACCGAGGTCGAGATTCTTGAAGATGATGACGAGGCTGATGGCCAGCAGGCAGGCATCCAGGATCAGGGTCACGGGTTCGTGCATCAAAGGGGTTTTAGGGCTTAGGGTTTAGGGGTTAGGGGTTTAGGGTTTAGGGTTTAGGGGTTTAGGGGTTTAGGGGTTTGGGTTGCACCGACACCAACGTTCGGGTTCTTGTCCGGCCATATGGTAGCTATGGGATCCAAATTGTGTGGATTGGTGTTGGCAAAACCTTCCTATCACGAAGGATTATGTTGTTTAGGCGACTAAACCTTAGTCCCTAAACCCTAAACCCAAACCTCAAAAAAGTATAGAGTTTAGGGGGGACGAAGGTTTAGGGCAGTAAAGGTTTCATAGGGACTTGGGACATGGTAGTCATAGGGGTCATAGGGAGTAGGCGTACGCGTTTGCGGAGAGGGTTTTGGATTCAGAGATGAGGGGTAAACCCCGAACCCTAGATTTAGGGTTGAAGGCCTAGAGTCGAGGAATGAGAGTTCAGGGTGATTACAAAAAGTCTTGCAGGAGTGTGGCATTTTGGCAACAGTTTGAAGTTCAGAGATGGGCGTTGAAAGTGCAGGTGACTGAGGGGTTTGGGTGCTGGCCGTGGCGGGCTTCGGAGGAAATACATTTTTTGACGCTGGGAAGCTTAGCACGGGACAACCCAGCACAGTTTGCAATCCCTACCGCTGAAAACCGAATTCCTAACACCCCTAAATCCTGAAATTCGAAAACTCTGAGAACCTATAACCCTAAACCCGGAACTCTAAACACAAAAACCATTTGGGCAACGAAATCCAGGTTTTCATTGGGAAGAGTATGAGGCCCACGGATGAGATGTAGGGTTTAGCATCTTAGCCTGTAAGGTTTAGCTTGGCTTGAGAATGCTGGCGTGCAGGCATAAGCAAAAGGCAAGTTCTCAACAACAGTAGCCTTAGCGGAGGCTGACCGATCCCATTCAAGCAAACTCTGTTAGGGGCTTGAACAAATTCCATGCCAGTATTGTTTTGAGGTTTATTCGAGGTACCCTAGAGTCTATACTTATACAAGGAATCTAGGACCACGATGCTAGTACCAGTTAAGCATTCAGGCTCCCAAGCACTTGGCCAGCGAAAGCGAGGAAATCTACGCGACATGTTGGAATCAAGTTTGTCCCGCCCTCTGTCAGAGGAGAGCAAATCCTAAATCCTAAACCCTAAACCCAAAATCCTAACACCACCGTAGGGTTGATGGCTTTGGAGTTTAGACCGTTTCAAACCTTGGATTGGGATCCGCATTATGTGGACCCTGCAATCTGAGCCCTTGACCCTAAATCCTAAACCCTAAGTCCTAAACCCTGAATCCTAAACCCTAAACCCTGTGCCACCAAGAAGCCTGAGTCCCGAAGACTTGAATTGAAATTTGAGCTTCGTGCAAACCCCCCAAACCCGAGTTCCAGGCGCTACCTGCGTAGCCAATAGGGTTTGGGGTTTAGGGTTCAAAGCCTAAAACCTTAAACTCTAAACCCTATACCCCAAACTCTAAACGCAAAACTCTAAACCCAAAACTGTAAACCCTAAACCCTAAGCTCTAAATCCCTAAACCTTGGGCTTCAAGATTCATCTTTCACTTAAGTTAAAGATGCCTGAAGCCCTTCCCTGGACCCCAAGAGTATGTAAACTAATGGCCTTTATGGTTTTTGTTTTGGGTTTAGGGTTTAGGGCTATTATTTTACATACTTTTGGGGTTTAGGTAAAGCCTTCCATCCAACAATTCGCCCAGGCAGGCTCAAGGCAGCAACGGGGCCGGGCCGGTAGGACCTTTTCCCCAAGAGTTAGGGTCTAGGGTTTAGGGGTTTAGGGTTTAGGTTCCCTAAACCCTAAACCCAGTTCTCAAAATGGATCCACAATCCCAGGGGTAGAACTCTAGAGGGCCAACACCTACCCTCTGGTGTAGGGTTTAGAGTATGTACTTATGAAGAAGCCCTCAAAAATTGAGTGACGACTACTGTCATACGGCCCCAAAGTGTTTGATTCTTGTAAACCTTGAGGGGCACGCAGAAGATGCATTCAGGCGCCATCCTAAACCCTACCTAAACCCCAGAAGTAGGTAGAATAATAGCCCAAAACCCTAGATAATGGCCCAAAAGGCCATTAGTTTACATACTCTTGGGGTCCATATAGTAGGTCCTTGGGTTATAGATAGTATAAATTCATATAGGGACTTAAGGACAGGAACCCAATATATCATAGTTTGGGGGCCCAGGTAAACCCTACAGTGCAGACCCCACCCTGTCGTTGCAGCGCCATGGATCCAGCTCTTTGGCATAAGATTTGCTATGCCTCTCGGATCTTGAAGTCACGGTTTAGGGTTTAGGATTTAGGGTTTAGGGTTTAGGGTTTAGGATCTTGAAGTGGGGGTTTCCTACAATTAGGGGTACCTACTATAATGGAGAATCAAATGGAAAATGAAATGGAAACTGGGATTATATAGGGGATTATATAGGGCTTAGGGTTTCCCACAATTAGGGGTACCCTTTAAGGGGTCCCAATAGTAAGGATTACAGTACTTTGGGGTCTACATTGGGGTTCCCCCATTTTGGGAAATTACCAAGTCAGCCGCTTATAGGGTTTAGGGTTGAGGGCGTCAAGTCATCTACGGTGGTTCCATGCCATGGGTTGGCAATATGGACTCCTACCTGTTCCTTAGGGGTGGTAGGCCGGTACTGAGTGTATAGCAGGTTTTAAGCTCCAAGAATATGTACTTCAAACCCTAAACCCTAAAACCCTGAACCCCTAACCTTGCACCCGCCAAAAACTACAGTATTTTGCAAATTTGAAGTGGTGGATTTTTCCATCCAGTATAGCAGGGGCACAGAATTCCAATCTCAAAAACTCACACTCCCAAGCGATCCTAAACGTCCGGTCTGACACCCTGGAACCGCTTGAACCTCCTAAACCCCAAAAGCATGTAAAATAATAGCCCTAAACCCATAATAACAGCCATACAGGCCATCATTTCACGTACTTTAGGGGTCCAGGCTAAACCCCAATTCTTACACTCTCGGCTCCTGTAACCTCATAAACCCAACACCCAAACCCCAAATCTCGACTCTTGAGCTCCTTCAACCTCCTGTAAGTTAGGAGGACCCCCCACCCTGTACTAGTGGTATAATTAGAATATAAGAGGACCCTAATATAATCCCTATTATCCATAATGGTCACTATTACAGGGTGGGGGGTCCTCCTAACCTATAAGTCCCAAGCCATAAACCCCAAACCCGAGATGTAAAAAGAACATTCTGGTTCTAGATTCCTTGTATAGCTCTGGTATAGGGTTCCTCAAACAGACCTCAACAGGATATTGGCAGCTGCACAGGGACCTAAAGTAGCCCCACCAAGGCTTGTTTCGGATGCTTGTTTTGCGTGCTCTGCGTCCTGGCCATCATGCACCAGGCATGCGCACCTGTGTGGAAACACAAGGACTCGGGGCTTAGGATGGGATTTGATCTCCCTGGACCCCAAAAGTATGTAAAATAATGGCCTTTAAGGCTGTTATTCTGGGTTTAGGGCTATTCTTTTACATACTGTTGGGGTTTAGGTAAGGGCTTTTTATCCGTAATCAAATTCCCTAATTGAAGAAAAAACCACGCTCCTAATGCCATGAAACTGGAACGTTTTGCTTCAACCCGAAACCCAACACCCTTAACCCCTAAAACCCCTAAACCCCAAAATCCAGATCTCGATGCTCTCGCCTCGCGAAGTACCGCTATATGTCATGTCTCAATTCCTAACAATGGGACCTTACTTGCTTCCTGCATCCTACCTTTGGGCCCTTGGTTTGGGAGGTTTGTTTTGTATGGCCTTTGATATGAGAATAAACGATATTCGGGGATACTAGGGTACCCACTATAGGGTACCCAAGATGAGCTAAGATTATATCCTCATTTTGGGGAATATAATCTTACTAGGTTCAACCACGAAAAAAACGCTACTCATATGAGTATAAAAGAGATGTGGGGACCGCACCATGAGTCACTCTACAATTGCAGGCTGAATTCTTAGGTTCGCCATCCTTCTATTGTCATATTTTGTTGTTCGTATGGTTTGGGTTTAGGGTTTAGGGTTTAGGATTCCGGATGTAGGTCAGATGAGGTCCCCCCACCTAGTACCAGTCGTAGACAAGAATATAGAGGGATGCCAGGACAACTGCTGGCGTCTTTTCTGGTCACTGCTGTTGATGGAGGATTTCCCACTGAATTCTGGTAGTTACGGTAACCAAAACCCGAAACGCCCAAACCCTAAACCCTATAAACCCCGAAGCTCCAAACCCCGAAGCCCTCTCCTCAACAGCATTCGTGAGGGACCTGGCGAAGGGTTTAGGGTTCAGGGTTTAGGGTTTGTAGTGGGTTGTACCTAGAGGCTGAGGTTGCCAGTAAGCAGCTTATGAATGGGGCTATGAATCGACTGACTAGGCCGGGCCTGCTTGTTGCGCTATTGATAGCCTGTGTATATATCCATGCCAGTCTACAGGAACCACCGGCTTAGGATTTACGGGATTTCACGTGTACTCATGACCATCCAAGTACCGATAATAGCAGTTTTCAACCCCCCCTTCAAAAAACAAATTTCCAAAATACACAGAACAGCCCTCTTAGCCCCAAAAAGTGATGGGCGCATGACCCATGACTGTCGGGCATTTCGGAGGTCTAGGCATAGGGTCATACTCACCCAGGCGATTGAAATCATCGGCAGAGCAAGAGCTAGAGTAAAGAGGGTTTAGGGTTTAGGGTTTAGGGGTTTAGAGTTTCATACACCACGCAAAGGACTCACCTCCCCTACGCTTACCCCCCCCCCCCGGGCACAACATTAGCTACACCACAAAAAATGGCATACCACAATTGGAAAATGCGATGTTAGGTGTGGGCGTGGGGTTGTGGCGGGGCTTACCAAAATAATAGGGTTTTGGTGTTTTGGAGTTTTGGTCCCTAAAAACCCTATTATTTGGGTCCTTGGACCCTTATATAATCCCCATACATCCCTAAATATCCCCCC